ATGACTTTGCATATCCCGCTGTGAGGTATTCGCTGAGTGAGTACGCGTACGTCGTATTTTCGGGTCACGGGGGCAAGAATGATTGGCGCCAGGTGAATTCACTTTAATAAGATTAATAAAATATAAACTCTTTAATATACAGAAATAATACTTCTATATAATTTGATGATCAATCGGTTTATTGTTATATACCCGGAACTTATATATCTATAAATTTCAACTTCCGCAATTCAAAATGAAAGTCGAATAAAAAGTTGCTCTGCAAGGAATTTTTCTGACAGAGAAAGAGGACACTGAATTCGTGAAAATTTGATTTGCCATTAATTTATTATTTACTTGCTAAAAATCGCTCTTAAGTTATCTAAAACCAGTCACTTACTTTAGTTATTTTAAAATGCGACTGTTTTATATTCACAATACATGATGGCTTTTACAGTTTTTGTCTCACAAATTTTATGTGTCGAAGCCTATTGAAGCGTTTAATATCGCCGTGGATTCTTAGTTACAAGCAGACATTATCTTTAGAATAGCGCCACAATCATTGGGACATGCAAATGTAACACGCTTGTGAAGCCTCGCGCGAAATTAATTGCGTGTGATGCAAATATATCGCTCCGAGAATTTCTCTCATTCGCTTCGAACATGGAATTATGTAACATATGAGGTTCTTGCATGCATATATTAAATTCAGCAAAGAAGAAAAAAATATGAATTTTCAAAAGAATTGACAGCGAGAGATTATAAATTACAAAATAACTTAAATTATTTTTTATATGACTGTTAATCTTTTTTCATTCATTTTTGGATATTATAAATAAATTACTGCACGCATTATATTGTAACTATGTGGATTTAATGTGTCATAATACTAATTAAAAATGTAATTATTTTTTATGAGAAAAATAGAAAGAAATTTAATGTTGCTTATTTGATTAGCGAGTATTTTCTATATTTTTAAAATATAGATATTAAATTCAATTCAATTAAAGATAAACATTTAACAGCTTAATAGAATTCAAGAATTCATTATTGAATATTACAAACATTTTAAATATAATAATTGCATAAAATCCGTTCCAATATTTACAATGTTGCTTTAGAAAGGATAACGGGCGTGCAGGAAGCGAAATCGCAGGAAATAATACGTTGCAATCGGGTCTCCTTCCTATCAATTATTCTGCCTTTCGTCGTTACACGATGTTATTTAGCGTGCATTGGCGTGGCAAGATGTTCGCCAAGGGTTAAGTCTTGTTATCGTTATCGCCATCATCCTATCCTGCAAGAATGAGAAATCGTTCTTTTCAACCTGTAACTTTTACGACATCGGTCAGCATACTCTCTCGGCAGAAACGTGTGCTCCTTACACGCGCCGAGATGATACCATTAATATGTGTAGTTGCACATTCTCAATATGTAAACTCGATCTAATCAGCATAACTAGCCCTTCACAACGTTCCTAACGAGCTTCGTAAAATTCCCACCTTCCCTATTCTTCCCTTTTTCTTTCCTTCGTCGTTCCAATCATCCTCCTACTCGAGAAGATCACCTGGAGCGAGGAACTCGAGAGCACCCAACCGATCTGTCGCTATAAAACTTTAAACCATTCTAGAAAACCATTCTCGTTATCTGTTAGATACCAAATTTAATGAGCGTTGAATACTCGAGTAATTCCGCGAATTGAATCAACTGATAATCGTCATGCCTGAATGCACACTGGTTCGTAGGATTTGACCAATGAGATAAAAGTTAATCGGTACAAGAGATTTAAAAAATTGACTTTTCGTTAAAATTATTTCACTTAATATTTTCCAATTGATATTTCATTAAAGATTGCAAATATATGTATATAACGAGCTGCGACAGAACTGTTGTCGTTATCAGTGAAATCCAACCAATCCTGTGATGTTTTATGAATTCTAGTAGAATTTTATGCAGTATATTAGATACTTGAAGATATCGTTACTAAGAATCTTACACACCTAAATAGGTATTTCGTATCTCGAAACAGTTTCCTGCACGTTTCATGTTTCTTAATTGTTTTTATGATAATATATTCTTTTATCGAAGGAAAATAATACGATATACATGATCGTTATATTTTTCACTCTCTCGCGATACTCGGATTACGTCTCATTAATAAAAGACGAGAATATTGTTGCGTGTCCTGAAAAGGCAATAAGAAAATCGAAGACGTCGTCCATGATAGGATGGAAGAGTACAAATCGGTGAAAGTTAAAATGTGAAAGTCAACCGCTAATTAATACTTCTTTTAATTCGGCTTTTTATTTATTTTATTTGTTATTGTATCGATGTAATCGGTAAGTGATAAATGACTATTCGGAGAAGTGCGTGCTGTGCGCGTGTCACCAACGGAAGTTATTCTTTTTACATTCGAAACGACGGAAACTTTCCAGTGTAATTACAAATGTCGCGGAAACGACTCGAGATGTCATTGCATAACTTGACGGTTTGCTAATGAATTTTTATTTGTCACCAGTTGCATAAGATTCAAATATCACCTGTTGATAACGCTTCTAACCTGATATGTTCGCAAAAAATCGCAGGTCATTGCTGATTTTCTCCATTTACTTTCACCACATTTCATTTTCAGATTCGATACGGTTGAAATTACCACGATAACCTATTAATGTTTGAACGGTAGTCATGTATTAATAGTTGGCAGATCGTTAGTTATACTTGTAACTATTGTACATAAAATCTCGTGATATTTATAGTTTCAAAGTATTTTATTATCTTAAGCTCGAAAAAATTGAAGTAAAATTAATGAAGCGTAAAATTATATAATGATAGGTACAAAAAAATGTAATAAAATACGACAAAAAGTTTAAAGTTTTCTTTTAATTTTTTCTCTCTTTCTTTAGTGTTTATAAAACAGAAAATAATTCTAATTGTAAAACGGATTAGAAAAAAGACTGTAAATAATATAGGGTTTGTTTTCTGTGATTGAACTAATGTACACTTTTAAAACTTATAGAGTGAGATAGGTTTATGTTTGATGTATATTTAGCGAAAGCGAGAAAAAGAGTTTTAGTGCAAGTATAAAAAAAACAGACCTATATATAGTTAGAATAATTTTTAATTGCAGAAATATAAGAAGTTTAGAAACTTAGAAATATATTTTATCTTTGTAAAAAGTAATTAAGAAGTCTGCAAATGAGTTTGAAGAAGAATGCAAATTACAGATATACTTGTAGGAATCTTTACCAAGTTTAAAGCAAGTTATTTTTAACATTGTCGCACGTTGCCAAAGCTTGTGGATAATCTGGACAATTTATCGATTCTGTATGACTATTGGAACACATCTTTCAGAAATGATTTAAAGCGACAATGTGCTATATGGTATCTGTCAATTCGAATTAAGATGCATTCGCTGATCATAACACATAACACGTGCATTGCATCGATTTTAATTAACCTTTACAAGATGAGACAGTTATTATAGGGGGAAGTTATATTTTGAGGCAAGAAATACAATGAAATAATGAATGATAACATCTTATTCAGGAAAAGCTATAAGATTTAAAAAATAGACCAATGGTCCAACGGAAAGTAGGAAAAAGGCATCTCCTAAATTTTAAAGAACAAAAATAATTAAAACTGCTTAAACAGACTATGTTTAATGAGTTTTGTCAAAAAATTAATTTTAGAAAGAAGAAAGTTATAGAAAGATTTTGTAAGAATACAAGACGGCTGAAGTGTTATAAATTTAAATTCTTTCAGTTCGAAAAATCAATTTACAATTTTAAGAGAAAAATAAAGTAAAATAAATATATGATTTTGTAATTTACCTGTCAGCAATTAATTACAATAATAATATAAAACAAAACAATAAGTACAATAATTCATTCGACTACCCTTCTCCCTTTCGGGATTCAAAAGTCTCAATTCTAATTTGGTCTCCCCCTTAAACAAAATCCTGGCTACGCCCATGCTCCGACCCTAAAGGTCAATACAAATTATTATATATCGCATTGATCATGTGCGCTCGTAAATCTCGAATTTCAACGCCAATGGTCGGCAACGGAAGAGTTTTCATAGTTGATATGACGCACGTCTTCCACGGTATATAGATGCGGAGCAGAGAACTACTTGGCCGAGTCATTAATGCATCATTGGCTGCAGGGAGGAACACGGTACTAGTCGATTAGAAAACCGTTCTAACTATATATGCGTTCGCACCTTGTTTCACGCATGGATCGCCGGCGGTCATCCTCATTAACGAGACCTTGCATTATCAGCGCGTCGTCGAAGTTTCTAAAGAGCTTGCGTTTAGATCCTCTAAAGCCTGACACGAGACTATCGCGATAGCCTACGGATTCATATACGTGATTGGCGTCGCCGTTGATGAAAGCCTTCGCTATTCTAATTGACTGATGGATGAGGAGCTATGACTAGCACGCGCTACCTATTGAGTTAAAAAGATGATTAAAAAAAACTAGTTTTTAAATAATTTTATAATGAAGCAAATCTTGACTTTTCATTGTTAGTTCAATTTTTATTTGCGATTGTATTTAGAGATTTACCACATGACGTTAGTCAAACTTTCCAAAAATACAATTTCTGCATAAAGCGATCATGAAAGCAAAAGAAAAGAAGTCTATTTCAAAATTTAATCGTTTATTAACATCCTTGACTTTATCGTATCGAGCTATTGGATAAATCCTACCGTATGCTTTTACAAAAAAAAACGACACTATTCAAAATCGTTATTTTCTTTGCTAGTTTCTTCATTTTCTCAGTTAACATTGGTGGTCACATTTGTTATGGATAAGCAGAATGTTCAGGTTGGGAGTTTCTTGTGTCGCTCGATTCTCTTTTCATTTTATACTTGAGAACTCGATGGAATAACGAAAAATAAGGCGGTGAAAAAAGAAGCAACAGTCATTGGTACAACTCTGTATTTCATTACCGTTAATGTCATCTCTGAGGAAGGCCACGATGTGAGATTCGACGCAGATTAGCGTTGTAAGGTGCAAGTCTCAGTACTGCGAACCTTTGTCCTCTGGTAGCAAGAAATAGATCGTCACGTCACCCCGAGGCGTCTTCACGATCTCGCGGTGTCGGATAAGCTGCGTCGCAGCCAGTCCATACATCAGAGTAGGGATACCTGATACATCGAACAAATGTAAGGAAACAAAAAGTCAGAAAGGAGGATTATCAAGTCGTCGCATTGCTAAACCCGTTCGCCATGGCTAATTCCAGATCGGTAGAGCACTCAATGAGACAAGACATTGGCTGTGGAAGGACAACGTGCTCGTCGTCCCACGTTCCTTCTCGTATGTCGGAAGTTAAATCGAATAAGACCGCGGTCTGTGTTACGACGCCTTGTTCCGATCGTTGCTTTAGATATTGACTGAATTCAATTAATCAAGCGGCGGTAGCTGTGAATTTACAGTGTCTTACACAGTCTTGGAACTCTCAATCTTGGTGACAAAAGAATTTCTTTACG